AATTGAGGGTTACAAACAAGTAGGACATATGGTACTTCATATTCATTTAATAAAAATACACTTATATATAATACAAAAGATTTTTATGACATGTTGGTTTAATTTATAAGGGCAAAATTCAACATTGTTACTTACTTATCGGGTAAGTGACGACGATGACTCTTACCACGATTAGCGTTTTATTGGGTAAATTGTTACATATGATATCATTTTGGTAGACTAAAATCTTACGTGGTAAGTAAGTAACAATGTTGAATTTTGTTGGTAAGTACTTACCTGGATAAGCATTTGGTAAATGGCCTTTTAGACGAATATATCAATTTAAGAAGCTAATTAATTAAAAAGTTATTACTAAAAATTAGAAAGGGAATAAGCTATATATATCCGTTAATTTCTTCGTATTTTTTTTATAAATTTCTATCCAGATTTGACATGGAAATCTTGACACATAGTAAATCAGTTTTATTTAGTTTAAATATGTGATAATATATTTGGGTTTTGTAATTTAAATTTAGTCGATTTAAGGTTAATTAATCATCACAATCACATATAGCATGTGATACATATACACATAGTTTATATCCTAATTAATAGGCGAAATGTGCTCTTAAGACAAGTGATTGTAAGATATAAAAAACCCTAAAATCACCGTGCCTTTCTTTTTATTTATTCATTTAAGATCGGATGATCATCGCACAAGTTTTATGCAAGAAAATAATGAATTAGCTCAATATCTCTTGCGCATGAAATTAAACCTAGCTACTGTATAGACTTGGGATTATGTGAGACCAAAGGTTTTTCGTGAGACCCGTAAGACCAATTTTCAACTCTTGGATTAAATCTACAATCTGAACATTCATAATCACAAAATTGTCACCGTGCAACTTTAGACCATTAGATCATTAACTTATAAAGTTGATCAATGAACATAAATTGGTCTTACGGATCTCATGAAAAACCTTTGATCTCACGTGAACCCAACCATATATATATATATATATATAGGGTTGGGTCCACGTGAGACCAAAGGTTTTTCGTGAGACCCGTAAGACCAATTTATGTTCATTGATCAACTTTATAAGTTAAATATTTAATAGTCTAAATTGCACGGTGGCAATTTTGTAATTATTGAGAAGTCTTGTGGCGTTTATAAATGTTTAAATTTTCATATTGTAGATCTAATCTAAGGGTTCATAATTGGTCTTACGGGTCTCACGAGAAACCATTGGTCTCACATGATCTCAAGTGTATATATATATATATATATATATATATAGGGTTGGGTTCACGTGAGACCAAAG